TCCTTTCCAGTTTTCAAGCCAAGTTGTTTCGCACGTGGTTTGCCAGAGCCTCCTTCCTAGCGCAGAGCCCAGCCGGCGAGCGCAGGAGGAGGGGTTTCTGTTGCTTCGCGCCTTTTTCAGGCGAGCACGGCTTCTGCGCTACCGGCAACTGCTCCCGACTCCTTTTGCAAGGCGCTGCCGGCATTTTTCCTCCCACCGGAGTGAGAGTCCCCATTTATCTACTCACATAAGTTTTCGAACTGTTGGGAGGACAGGAACTGGGGGAGGAAGCAGGAGCTCACTCTGCTACGCAAAGGCTTGGCTCGAACCGCTGAAGTGTCGACCATTTCTGGCCGGAAACTTTCAGCATCATTAAGCCGCTGTGCCACCGCGTCCCCCTCCCTGAAATAACTCATGACATAAACCTTATAAACTGTAGTTTAGAACAGTCATATAAACATATTTTTTATATGAAATGGAATAAATTGCCTGAAATAAATTACCTAAAATAAATCCAGTGTACATTAGTCTTCCTTACTGATGGGGTTTATGGTAATTAAAGTAAATCAATAACAGTATGGAGCTGAAGTGTGGATCTATATCAGTGATTCTCAATCCCAGCAGTTTTAAGATGTGTGGACTTCAGCTCCCAGAATTCGCCAGCTAGCATGCTGATCTATATCAATCACACCCCTATAGATTGCAAATTACACCCGACTGGAAGAATTTGCCACCATGGCACATAATTTCATTCTCTGCAAAAATTTACATGGGCCTTCACGTTCCTACTCCAATGGAATGTGTATGTAGTTGTTGCTAAGAGTTTTATAACACTTTGCTTTAGAATAGAAAAATCCTAGACTTTCTATTCTTTTCTATACAAGACCTGTTTTTGCAAACCAGATACAGTGAAAAGTCACCAGAGGAGGTTGCAGCTCTCTTTGTACGCGGTTTTGCTTTGCAATTGTAAATGATTGCATGCAAAAGGAATTTACTGAAAGACTTCAAAGTTTCAAGTTGCAGTTCATTGGGTTTCAAACACCCTGTACAAACACGCTCTAAGCAGGAAGTTGGCCAGCTCTAAACTGTCTCACAGAACTCCCTCTGAAGAGGGCAAACGAAGTACAAAGTGCCCGGTTATCATAAAAATTAGGAAAATAAACCATTGCCTCAACATTGCTGGAGGCTCACTTCCAGCACAACTGATGCACAGTACCGACCTAATCATTTTGCTTGAATTTAACACAAGATGGCAGCGTCTGAAAACAAATCTGTAAAGATTGGGGCCTTTTATGTGCTTCCCTATGCACGGATTCAAAACCAATTAGTCCAGCAACTTCCTAGAACAGAGCCTACTTAGCATCTCCTAAAGCCATGAAATTTAGGCCACTCGCCTGCCTCCCCTAGGTTATCTAGGGGAAGTGGGAAGCTGACAGGCTTTTAGAAAGACCAGCCCATGGGCCATGGCAAAAGTTGCTATTAACAAAGGATGTGAAAGGACACTGAATGCATTTTCTGTGGGTGAGCCATTTCCTATGAGCCATTTTCCTTAAATGGCCATGATTTAGCTCTTTGGCAAGAGGAAATATCAGAAACAAAGAATGGTTATAAAAAGCTTACCACCAAACTGCTGACAGGCTTGCTGTGGAAGATGGCATCAGAACCTGCCCAAGCAAATAATTTTGCAAGTTCCTTTTTCTCATCTCAGTATCCCAAATGGGCTCAGAATCAGAGCACATCTTAC